TCACACACACACACACACACACACACACATACACACACGCATTGACACATATACTTCCACAATAATGATCACATGCATCCCCTACCCCATTACACTTATCCCCCCCCCCACACACACACATACAAACACACCCAACACCCCCTCTTCCACCTCAATCAACCACACCCTTCTCCGCCCACCCCATTCCCCACCCCTCTACCTGTGGATGGTTGGCGGGTACTCTGGTGTAGTTTGCTTCTTCTTTCCTATCAAACATCTAACGTACTTATCTCTCCTCTTTCTTTTTTGTGTTTGTTACTCTCTTGTAACACCTCTAATCTAGGGCACTTATATGAAGCATTGTGCTACAAATCCCGTAAAACACTTACTAAAACTAAAACAACCATGTACCCCCCACCTACAGCCTATTTGAGATCCTCCAGTCCCTGTATTGGGCCATGTATGGCCTGGTGGATCTAGACAACGCCGAGCTCACCCCGAGGTTCAAACACGAGTTCACGGAGTTTGTGGGCAAGCTCATGTTTGGCGTGTACAGCTGGATCGCCTTCATCGTTCTGCTCAACATGCTCATCGCCATGATGTCCAACTCCTACCAGCTCATCTATGTGAGTTCATGGGGAGATGTGTTAGGTGTGGCTGTTGTTAATGTTGTTGTTGTTGTTGTTGCTGTTTTGTTGTTGTTCCTGTTGTTTTTGTTGATATCGTTTTTGCTGTTGTTGATGCTGTTGGTATTGTAAATCATGTTATTGTTGCTGTTGTTATTGTTGTTGTTTTTTTATTTTGTTGTTGTTGTTGTTATTCCTGTTGTTTTTGTTGATGCCTTTTTTCTGTAGTTGTTGTTGTTGTTGTTGCTTTAGTCTTTCCCAGATTTACAGACAGTCCACATTGGCTACTATACTTCTTCAAATAATTTATATTCCTTTGCACGTCTATAATATTATCTGAAAATAAGCACTTATCATCTGCCCAAAATTAAATTGCTTGTTTGTTCATCATTGTTCAAGAACTCATTTTTTGGGGGGCGATCCTGTTTTTCAACATCAATTCAAATTCCGAAACATAGATATTGAACAAAAATGGGCTAAAAATACATCCCTAGCGAACCCCTGATAAGCGTTTCAAGTATTCCGTAATTTCAAGCTGGGCAGCATGAACAAAGCACATAACTTCAGAGTACATACTTTGTAGCGATGATAATATGTACCCTCTCAGGCCTCTTTTCCTCAAGACTGCCCATAAACAGTTTTTCATGGGGGACGCAATCAAATGCTTTGGAAACATCAACAAAAAGTACACAGAAGCGCCCAAGTTTCTTTGAAAGATTTGGACTTTTGATTGAAGAGAGAAGATGTGATCGATGGTGCTATAACCTTTACGAAACCCTGCTTGCGATTCTGGTATTACATTAGTCTGCTCGACCCATTCCGCCAGTCTGGAATGCAATAAACTTGACATTATCTTGAATATGATATTTAGAAGTGCAATAACCCCTGTTCCGTTATACTTTGACTCACCATTCAACACCTCTTTCCCCCGTCCACTTCTCCCCCTCCCACCCACCCACCTACACACACACACACACA